CAGAAGAGAATTATATATATAGATTTTAATTATTATATATCTACTTTATTTATTTATTTTTATTTATTATATCTACTTTATTTTTTTATATTTTTTTAATTTTAATTACTTTATTTACTTTATTTGCTTTATTTACTTTACTTGCTTTATTTTTATTAAGCTGAAATATAAGCTTTAAAAGTTTTAAACTTTTTCAGACTTTTATAAAAGAACTGAGATTGAAGGAAGGATACGTAGATGTAGAAGACGCAGAAGTGGATGAGTGGGGCAATTTAGAAATGACAACTTTAAATTTTTCAGTAACATTTGGTTAGTACCCAATTTTAAAAAGCCTATTCATGTATATATAATCAATATATACAATCAATACATATACTACACCACCCATTTAACTTTGGATAACTGGTTATAGGTGCCATCCATAAATGACGTACGCTTGTTTTTCTTTTCCTATCTTCTTCCTAACCCTGCCCATTGTCACACATCGTCACAAAAAGCCAGACAGCTCATCTAAAAAGTCACACCGAAGTCACGTTGTTTTTTATAAGAATACAGATTTTGGTTGAACTGAGCACACTATTTTTTTAATATGCTGAGGTATCAAATGCAGATGGCCCCTATTTTCCCTGCCTTATGGCCCGCCAGGTCCGAATGGCAATATTACTGTACAAATTTAACATAAGACGCACCTCAGCTTACATGTTTTTGTCTTTTAACAAAATCTATGTCTTGTTATAATATTATATGAGCTAATATGAATAACAAATGAATAAATGGTTAATGCTGACAACAAAATAATAACAACGGAAACCTTTATTCACTATACAGCAAAACTACGCCAAGTATTATTCTAAATGAAATTATAACCTAAATTAACATATTTCTATACAAATAAAGCAAAGATTTATATGAAACTAGAATACCCGTCATCCGTTGGATAACTGTGGGTTTCGGGGGTCATCCATCAAAAAACATCACGTCTGTCACTCAGAGGCATAGCGACCCTTCCCGGCGCCCGGGGACAAACTTTTCTATTTGAACCCCCCCCCCCCCCCCCGCAAGATTTCGATTTGCAACCCCCCCCCCCCCTCAAACTTTTGATGTGCACCCCCCCCACTCAAACTTTCGAATTGAACCCCCCTCAACCTTTCAATTTATTTTTCCAAACTATTTTGGCGCCCCAACATATGTCCCCCCACCCCGCCCCCCCCTCACCCCGCCTCCCCTCTCCCGCCTCCTCTTCACCTCCCGCCCCCCCCCCCCCCCTCCTCGCTACGCTACTGCAGTGTCACTTATCGTCACAAAAAACAGACCCCACATTCAAAAATATGTTTTTTATCTTTTAAAAACACCGAAAACACCGATTTCGGACTATCCCTTCATATACTGACGTCACAGCTGACCTACTCAACTCTACTTCACCTGCCCAGTGTACCGCCAAGTCTCAGACAACATGTTTTTATCCTTTAAAAAACGATTCCAGCCGAGCATGGTTCTGACCACACTATCCTTTCATATGCTTAGGACAAAGAAACAGATGAACTCTACTTCACCTGCCCTGTATCTTGCCAAGTTCAGATAGGCAACTTTATCATTTACATCTAAAAAAAAAAAAATTGAAAAAAAAAATTCATCGACATATTGGTCTAGAACCCGTGCCACCTCCATGAGAGCCGACTACGCTACCAGCTTAGCTATTTACTCGTGACGTCACAAGTGAATTTTTATACTATACTATGCGTCTCCTTATGCAACTTGATTTACGCGGATAGATTCTAGATCTAGATCTAAGTCTAGTAGTACTAACTTTCAAATTAAATTTTATCTTAAATTAGCCAAACAAAGATTTATATAAAATAATTAAGGCCTGAAATAGATTCTAGATGTAAAATTTACATTAAGCCTAGATCTAGAATTTACATTGAGTCTAGTGACCTACATCTAGGCTAGATCTAGATCTAGATCTAGATCTAGATCTAGATCTAGGCTAGATTCGTAACTTTCCTTCGATAGCTGATCTTTAGATCTAGAGAAATTTATCGTAAAACTAAATGAAAAAGACAGTTGAAAATTGATATAAGTGTTGGAACGTAATAAATACAGCAAACGGACGTATTGTTTAAGTTATAGCCGGCAGAAAATTAGCTTTGTAACGCGTTAAACTTTTGAATGGGCCACAAAGTCTATGATGGAGTCCGCCATTTTTATTGTACAAAAAAGTTAACACATCAAGGGACGTCACTATCCCCACAAAGTTTATTCAAAGTATTAACATTTTAAAAAATATACGGTTAATTTAACTATGAATAAATCAATAAATTAATTAACGTCTTTAAATAAATTTGTGATTAACAGTCTGTCTGCATTAAAAAATTATTCTCTACCTACATACTATTTTACAGCTCTCCACGATGAGTGCAACCATGCGCAATAATCAATCAGGCAAACAAACAAACAAACAAAAAAATAAATATTCAAACATGTAAACAAACTTGACTTTTAGTAGTATATAGATGTTTAAAGCCGGAATTTGAAAAATAAAATAAAAATGATTGACGTTTTAATAGGTATTTTTAAAAGATAATTTTATATTTGGTCTTTTTCTCCAACAAAGTTAAGCTCTAGAATCTAGATTCTAGTTTATCCGCAATAAAATATCCTCTCAACTGCAAACAGACTGACACTGCCAGTACATTTTCTTCCTGTACAACAGAGTGTTTATCTGGGTTCTACGGAGAGAGATGTGATATCCCTTGTAACTGTTCGAGGCCTTTTTGCACCAAGCTCCATGGTGTGTGTTATGAAGCTGATTGTCAGAAAGGCTGGTTTGGTGAGGATTGTAGAACAGGTGAGAGTTTTACCTAAATTCCTACAGTATTTGCTGACTAAAACGATTTCCTACTTTTTTTTCTTAAATTCCGGTTACACATGTTACCAGATCTAGGACGCTACCCAATGTCAATTTCCTTCTCTTATTTTAACTCTTTGATAGAAAATGTATACGTATTCAATACAAAATAAATGTATACAATAAATGCTTTTTTTTAAATTGTACAGATTTTTTTGTGAATTGTTCAGTTCGCCTAACATAAATGAAACAGCCAATTTGAAATTGTTTCTTACAAGTAAATATTGTAATCTTCATTTTAGTTAATGCAGTGTTTAAATTTAAAAAACAACATGTGTTTATCTCTAATTAATTGGATACTAATTTCATTTAATTAATTAATTTGATAGCTTAGAAATATTTTACAATGCCGAGCTGTGTAGTAAGTTTAGGTCTGTTTTTTTGTCTGCTTTTTCTTCTGCCCTTTAGTCCAATTTTTTGTTTTTGTTTGTTTAAACTCGATGGTGGCATAATTTTGATGTAGCTATCTCTTTTCGTTTAAATAACCATAAAAATATTTTCGCAGGCAACGCTATGAGTTATATGTAATTTTTGTAATTAGATTTTAGATAAACCATTAACAATTAAATATAAAATTACGCATTCAATAACACATAACGAGATGACCGAATTCTTTGCTAGTGATAGCTCGTTACGTCACTGATGTTTACACAACTGAGCGAAGTTCACAAACGTTCATCGTGAGAACATAACTGTGGTTTTGAACTAAGACCGCCAGCTACTGGTTGGGTTTTAGAAAGAAAATTTTAGTTATTAATTTATTTTATTTTAAAAGTAATCTGCTTATACTTTTAAAATTTAAATTTAATACTACTAAATAGTAGAAAATAAAGCAAATAAAACAGCCATTATTATAAAAAGATTTAAATGTACTGAAATGTCATGAAATCACACATTTTAGCGACCAGTGCTATAACAAAAGAAAAATTTATAAGAACTCAAAAAATGAAATAATTAAACAGAAATTATATATATATATATATATATATATATATATATATATATATATATATATATATATATATATATATATATATAAAGAGAGAGGGTAGCTGGTAGATTTGAAACGATTGGCATGTATATTTTTTTCTCAATTAATCGAAGCTCTGTATGTGTGCCAATGTGCACTCTTCTGTTATCTTACATGTATTGTCATCACATATATTATCGTTCGTTTTTTTTTTAAATTCACGTTATTAGCCCATCCTTTTTTTTTAATTTTATATATATTTTGTGTAATTTGTTTGATTTCACAACAGAGGATTTAGCTGCTTTTGCTTATATAGTTGAACCCCAAGAGTTTTTTGACGGAGATTCAACATCTTGTCGAGTACCTGATAACAACACAATTTACATAGAATTATTCGAGAATTTTTTCCTGACATCGTTTAGTCTTGTTTTTGAAGAGCCAGGTAATAATATAATGCTATATAACTACATCTTTCTTAATTTAAAAAAAACTACTTTAGATAATTTGTAAAATTTGCTAATAAATATATAAAGTTAATAAGAAAGATACGTTTGTAACAACACAAAAATGCTAAAAATAACATTATCTTTTATTGAATATCACTTATATTTCTACCAAAACATTTACAAGAAGACGATTTTGTTGTAGCCTAAGTTTCTTTGATTAGAAAGTAGCATAATATGTTATTAGCGTGTAATGGTCGTAGATTAAACACTAACACGGTATAGGCTTAAGTTGTATAACCTGTACAAATGTCATCTTTGGTCAGTTTTAAGGCTTTTCGAGGTTTTCATGAAAGGGTAATTTTTTTTCCGATATTATTTTATTTTTTGTTAAAATACAGTATCCCTAGAGGCCTAGCGTTAGAAAGCTGGACTGCTAACCTGTAAGTCTCGAGTTCGAATCCGGGTTCAAGTCAGTAGACCGTCCCTGAGTCCACCCAGCTCTGATGGGTACCTAACTCACTTTAGGGAAAGTTAAGGCGGCTGGGCATAGTGCTGACCACACTATCTCTTCATATGAGGTCACAGAAACAAGTGAACTCTACTTCACTTGCCCCATATACCGTCGAGTTTTTAAAGGGAAACTTTTACTTTACTTTTACTGTATCCCGACATAAATGTAATAGGCATATTTTATGTTGAAACTACATAATTGTATCTATACTGTTTAATACTGGTAGATATGGTTTGGAAATTAAAAAATACACTATATTTATTAATTTAATTTCTTTGTATACCAGAATATTTACACGAGGGAGACTTGGTCGTTAGTTTTTTTGATCGGAAAAAAAACGATTTTGTAAATAGGCGTGTATTGGTCCAAAAGATTACACCAATACGATTCAAACTTCAGCTCACCTCCGCATTAGTCAGGAGAAGACTGTTCATTAACATGAAGAAAGCCATTTCTGTCTGCACCGTTAACATAGATGGAGGTTGGTAAAATATGCTTGATATTTGTTCTAACTATTGAGATTGTATACATCCAAGCGATTTCAATAAAAACAATATCGCAATGTGTGCAATTCAAATAAATTGGCTAGTCACGTATTTTCAAACAACAAAAGCTGAATTATAAATGGCGAAGCGCAAAAGAATAAAGCCTCTAGTTGATTCATGAGTTCACCGGTTTTCTTGATGCTAACGTTATGTTAAATATAAGGAACTGAGCTGTTAAATCCCTTACCAGTATGGCAGAAGAAACTGAATGACATATCGACTGACAAGTTCATTATGATAAATTGACAAATTCTGTTTAAATATGTATTTGACAGGGGTAAATTTAGTACAGTTGAATAAATCGGAGGACATAGTAAGTATCCCAGGATTTGACGAAAACGACACGTTGATCGAATCAATAACAGACGAAGATCGATTCAACACCTGCATATCAACAAACTTGATAGACAGAATTATCGTCAAGTTTAATGGGATGAAAAAGCTATACAGAATCGGCATTTATCCTAGCAGTAAGTAGTATTAAGGTTACTCTCAATGTTCAGTCATTAATGCATATATATATATATATATATATATATATATATATATATATATATATATATATATATATATATATATATATATATAATATATATAACCAGTTCATGTACATATCATTTAAGCTGTTAGTTTTAAGAACTGGCCAAGCAGTGGCCTATACACACGAGTTGCAGAACCCGTGTGACGCTTATCAAGAACTTGAGTTTTGAAACTCAAACATTATCCAAGACTAATTAATTAATTTGTGCATTGCTCTTAGTAATTACCATGCGCATTGATCTGTTACACATAGCTTTTGCTATAAAGTTAAATTAAGTACCTTCTACTATTGGTTCCAATAGGAGAAACAGACTAACATCTTATGTATTCAGAACCATGTTTAGAATAAAGCTCATGGTTGCTAAACCGAAAAGTCTCGAGTTCAAATCCTCTGGCAGATGAGGCTCGTTAGCTGGGAACAGCAACTCTTCCAGAAGAGACAACTCCAAAATCAAACAACTGCTGTCTTGTAGTTTGTTCTTGGTTGGAAAAAGGCTAAGGAAGCAAATCCAAAAAGAAAAGCAGGCTGAAATCGGAGTCAATGGCCTCAATGGCGCATAACCAGTTGACACGTATACTTAACGAGCCGACCAGCTGCGTATCATACGCCGCTATTTAGTTTTTTTTTTTTCTACTTTTCAGTAATTTATAATTTGTGAATTCGACAGTACCAATGCTGCCACTGAAAATATTTGCTTAAAAACACTAAACCCCCCCCCCCCCCACGTGAAAGCAGCTTCCTCTTAGTTACCTCCTCTAAGTTTAAAATCGTTTCAAACTAAATTATCTGCCCCTAATAGCCGTCACCAAACCCGTCTCTATGATTGTAAAATGTAAACAGAGTGAACACCGCTCACCAGATCATGTGGGGGTGGGGTGGGGGTGGTAGTGATAGAGAGGAAGAGAGGGGACTGCAAAGGCGCGCTTGCAGCTTGTTTTCTAACTGATCCCAGAAGAGAATTATATATATAGATTGTGATGGAGGGGATCCCTTCCAATACTAAAATTAAGAACGAAGAAGAAGAAGAGAACCACGTTTTACTTTATATTTAATGAATTTTTTTTCAGCCACCCCAACGACATTTGAAGTGAACTGCACCAATCATGTTAACTTCACCATGAACTTCCGCAAAATTACAACTCACACAAGGGGTCCTTCATTTATTCATTTAAATACGCATGTGCACAAAATAGAAATAAAAACAACGGATCCGATATTTGAAATGTGCGAAATAGAAATATATGGAAGTAAGTAGACCAGTTGTTTTATTTTTGAAAGTATAAAATTAGAAGTCACGTGATTTTTATTTAATCCTCTTTAGGCTGCATAAATTGTTTTACTTTTTTTCGGAACGGAATAGATTTTTCTCTAAAGGTTCGTACATAAACGACGTCACACTCATTCGGGGAGAGAGGGGGTTGGGGTTCGTAAATTTGTTACGGTTTGTGATGAGTTGAGGGTTTAGATGGTGTGACGTCACACTTTTGCATTATAAAAAAGCAACGTTTGAAATCTAATATTAGCCGTTATTTCGCGTTGTAGAAAACTGTTTTAATAAATTGTAATATTGTAATACTCTGTTAACAAAGTTTAGACAAGATTTTGAGGAAATATCGATGTTTTGAGTAAAATTCGATTGCAATTCTGAAGGGGGGAGGGGTTGTAGGCTGAAGTGTGACGTCATGTTAAGGGGATTATCTGGCATTTTGTGACATGTATGACGGAGGGGAGGGGGAGGTAAAAATCGTCAAAAAAGTGTAACGTCATTTATGGATGACCCCCTTACTTGCCACCAATAAACGAATAGGTTTGTATACGAACTGATTTTAGTTTGTGAAATAACTAGACACAGCCTCTTGTGCGAGCGCGTTACTTGAAAGGTTTGGAGAACTAAACACCGGCTAGACTCTTGAATGATCAAATGAACAGACATGAAAAAAAAAACGTCTATGGTCAGCTCTTGTCTAAATGTGATTGAGGTCATCTGTAGGAATTTCATCAGTAATATGGCATAAACGTGCACAATCAGGGCGCCCATTACAGATGTGATGCGGAGTCTTCTCGAAGAACTAAAGACAGCAGGGATGTCTTGGCAGATAGAAAAACTAATAAACGGACAAAATAGAAGGTTATGGCTGAGGCCATATGATGCACAAGGAGTAAAGTGGACTAAGTCAAGTTATGTAAATCAGAAAAAAAACAATTTTTGTATTATGTTTCATCAAAATTCATGCCTCGACTGCTATAAAAGCAGAAACATGACTTAACGCTTTGTTACATTACTATTTCGATAGTTATTTAAGTTGTTGACGGTGAATTTTTTTTTAAAAAATAGTGTTTATTATGCTATTTCCTTACATTGGATTCGATTCATTCAACACTCAGTAATCTTGATTTGTTGTTACAATCCCAACAGGTTTAGATATTGTTCCCCTACCTTTTAATCCTGAAGATTTTGTTTTGACGCTACCTTCACCGGTCACGGAAAAAAACCTTCTTTACATATTCATCATCTGCATTCTGGCCATTGTTATTCTTGCAAAATTGGAAGATTTAGATTTTGGTAAGTTTTAATTAATATAATATTTTAATCATTTTTGTATCCGTCCGTTACGGAAAAGAAATACTAAAATTATTACTTCTTACAACTATGATTAAACATCTTTTTGAGCTATTCAGCCTGAATATTTTAATTGAATATTAAATATTCAATTGAATTATTCTTTTATAATTTGAAATTAGTTTGAACTAATTCATCCAGAACTAAAATGTCACATTAAAAATGTAATGCAGTCTAAACTTAATACCAAATTATGAAATGGATCTAAACATGAAACCAGACTGGAGCTAAAACAAAGATATGTGAACTTTGACCATTAAAACGTATTTAGGTCTATACCTGATCGTAAAACAAGTGCTCGAGAAAAGTTGAAATCTCGTTTTTGTTTCAAGTTTCAATAATATTATTTTATAGGGATTTAAATAATAAAAATATGCAAATTTCTTTCAGATATATATATATATATATATATATATATATATATATATATGTATATATATATATATATATATATATATATATATATATATATATATGTATATATATATATATATATATATATATATATATATATATATATAATTATATGTATATATATATATATATATATATATATATATATATATATGTTTATATATATATATATATATATATATATATATATATATATATATATATATATATATATATATATATATATATATATATATATACAAAACCGTGCTCGTTACAGGTATTTTATTCTTTGTGTGCATATATTGTTAGTTTAGTTTGTGAGATTTATTAATCTATTTTTTTAGGAATGGAAACAGAGGATGAAAATGAAAAACATGTCTGATCTGAACAGTTTAGTTTTCTTATAAATTTGACTTAGCATTTTCTAAGCTCTGTATCGTATATCTTTATTAGATACAATTTTATTTAATTTTTGTTTTATTTAATATGAATATGTAAATGTAAATTAATGTGTACATCATCTCTAATAAATTACAAAAATTATCATTTTGAAGTTATTTTGTTTGTATTTTTGTTTAATGTGGAATTTCAATTTTAGAGATAAGTTCGGATTTTGACAGAAAATAATAAACATAATGTTTCACCGGTACAGACTAATTAATAGTTTGTTAAATATTGTTGTTATATATGGATGTTTTCATTTTAATTAACTTACTGCTACTGGTATTACTTTATTTCACATTTTTAGATTGAATATTTTTAAGTGCTAAATATACGGTTTAATAGTTGTGTTTTCAACTTTTTGTAATGGCAAATGAATTATTTAAAATTTAATCATTTTTACTGTAATTTTTTTTTTTTTTATTTAAGTGAACAAATTATGAACCAAATATAAAAAGCAAATTTAACGAAAAACACATCATCACAAGCTATCAAGTTCCAAATTAGCATACCCAGTATCAAAATATCTAAACCTGAAAACATAAGTGAAATAAAACTGTATTAATTAACAATACAAATATTGTAATATTAAACAAACCTTAGAGGACAGAAAACAAAATAAAATTTCAATATCTCAATTTTAGTACATCTGATAAAACATTTTATTTGTTTATTTGTCGTTTACAAATATTACGAAGATTAACAAAGATTCTACCTAACGATTGTCTCCTTCAGAAACAAAAAACATTTAATAATGTGCTTATTAAATCAAATATGTGCGAGACTCGCCTGTTTGAAGATACAGGCTTTGATATTTATTAAATCACGTACTCATTAAATTATTCAGTAAATCATTGCTTATTAAATTAAATATTTGTGCTACTCAGCTGTTTAAAGATGCTGGCTTAGATATTATAGCGAGGTCGGGTGTCACCCGGTGCGGCACTTAATGGTGTCAACCCTCCGAGGTGTAGCGACCCTTCCCGGGGACAAACTTTCAATTTTCGATTTTCACCTCTCAAAAAACTATTTAACACTCGAATTAATCACTTAATTAAGTGGAATTATCATTTTTCTCTATATATTTTGCTATTTTTTGTCTTGGTGTCACCCCCCTAAATGGTGTCACCCGGTGCGGTCCGTACCCCGGACCCCCCCCCCTTGCTACGCCTCTGCTAAGGGGAGGCAAGAGCCAGTGCTTCGTAGAAGTGACTAGCAGTCGTCAGCATCAAGACTGAACTTTGATGAACAGGACACCATTATCCTTAGTGTGCCACTGATATACCAAGATGGTCTACAGAAGAGGGACAGAATTTGAAAGACAGACCTATGACTCCATAGGTCGAGAAGCCTACATGTAATTTATTAATTGGTAATTCAACAAAAATTAATCTTTCAAACTAAACAAGTTTTTTACTTTCTCGTATACAGAGTACAGGGGAAATATTTGTAATCGTGCACAAAAATCACATGAAATTTTGACAGTTTCCACAGTTTTATACCTCAGTGCGTCATCATATACGGAGTATATGGGGATAATTTTAATCTATCAAAAATTCTAAATGCAGATTTATCAAAGTTTCGGCGTTTTATGCGTAATCGAGTCGGAAAAAAATGGGCTTTGCAATCCTGTCCGTATGTCTGTGTGTATGTGTGTGTGTGGATTTATGTATGTCTATGAACATTGATAACTTGAGTACCGATACAGCTAAGTTGATGAAATTTCCTGTATAAGTATTATATCAAATTTGTAGTTCTGTATCAACCTTTCAGCGATTTCCGATATACGGAAATGGGACTTATTCGACTTTTATTTTTTCAAAAGCCTATAACTTGAGGACTGTTTCAGATAGATAAA